TCTGCAAACAGGGACAGTTTAACTTCTTCATTACCAATTTGGATGCCCTTTATTTCTTTTTCTTGCCTTATTGCTCTAGCTAGAACTTTCAGCACGATGTTAAATAGGAGTAGTGATAAAGGGCATTCTTGTCTTGTTCCTGTTTTCAAGGGGAGTTTTTTCAGCCTCTCTCCATTAAAAATGATGTTGGCCATTGGTTTTGCATAGCTGTCCTTTATTATGTTGAGAAATTTTTAAAATAATATCTTAGTGTGTTTTTGGTGAGTTTGCACAGTTGCTTAAGTATTTTAAAGTGAATTTCAGACATCGTATAATTTTTCTTCTAAATACTTCGGTATGCAACTATGAAATACAAGAATATTTTCTTATTTAACCTTAATACCATTATCTTTTCTACAAAATTAACAATTCCTTAATATCATTTAATGCCTGGTTCATATTCAGATTTCTCCAGTTGTCCTTCAAATTTTTTATATTTGGTTTGTTCAAATCAGAATTCAGAAGGCAGACCTCCATAGAACACTCCACCCAGCTATAGCTAAGTATATGTTCTTCTCAAGTGCACTAGGAACATTCTCCTGGATGGACCATGTGCTAGGCTATAAAACAAGTCTCAATAAATTTAAAAAGATTGAAATCATACAAAGTATGTTTTCTTACCACAATGGAATTAAATTAGAAATCAGTAACAGAAATTTGAGAAATTCACGAGTATGTGGAAATTAAGCAACACATGCCTAAATAACCAATGCATCAGAGAAGAACTCACAAGGGAAATTAGAAAATATTTTTAGATGAATGAAAATGAAGACATAATATGTTAAAGTTTATGGAATGCAACTAAGTCAGTACTTAGGGAAATTTATAGCTGTAAACTCTTAGGTTAATAAAGAAGAAAGCTCTCAAATCAATAACATAAACTTCCACCTCAAGACACTAGAAAAGAAGAGCAAATTAAACCTAAAGCAAACAGAAGGAAGGAAATAGTAAAGATTAGAGCAGAAATTAGTGAAACAGAGAACAGAAAAATGATAGAGAAAAATCAACAAAACCAGAAGTTGATTCTTTGAAACAACAAAATTGATGAACCTTTAGCTGGATTGACCAAGGGAAAAAAAAGAAAGATGACTTAAATTACAAAAATCAGAAATGAAAGAGGGGACATTACTACTAACCTTACATAAATTAAGAGGATTGTAAGAAAATACTGTGGATAATTGTATGCCAGTAAGTTAGATAACTTACATGAAATGAACAACAACAACAAAAAAAAACCACAAAGCTACTGAAATTGACTCAAGAAGAAATAGAAAATCTGAGTAGACCTATAACGAAGAGATTGAATTAATAATTAAAAGACTACCCACAAACAAATGCTCAGACCCAGATGGCTTCACTGATCAATTCTGTCAAATATTTAAAGAAGAATGAATATGAGTTCTTCACAAAGACATTCAAAAAATAGAAGAGGGAACACTCATTCAATGAGGCCAGTATTACTGTGATACCAAAACCAGGTACATATATCACAAGTGAAGAAAACTACAGACTAATATCTCTTATAGATATAGATATAAAAATCCTAATAAAGTACTGGCAAATGAAATCCAGCAGCATGTAAAAAGGATTATATACCATGACCAAGTGAGATTTATCCCAGGAATGCCAAATTGGTTTAACATCCAGAAATCAATTGATGTAATGCACCCTACCAATAGATTAAAGGACAAAAACGATGTGATTTTTCGACAGACATAGAAAAAACATTTGACAAAATCCAGTACTCCTTTATGAGAAAAACACTTAAACTAGAAATAGAAGGGAAATTCCTCAATCTGATAAAAGGCATCTACAAAAAACCCTCAGATAACATCATACTTAATGGTAAAAGACTAAATACTTTCCCCCTAAAATCAGGAAAAAAACAAGGATATCTGCTCTTGCCACTTCTGTTCGGCATTGCAGGAGGTTCTAGCCATAGCTAGATGCTTTTTGTTTCCTTTTCTTGCCTAATTAAAATAGAAGACACCCAAACTGGAGAGAAAGAAGTAAAATTATATTCACAGATGACATGATCTTGTTTATAGAGAAATCCTAACGAATGTGCTAAAAACTGTTAGTACTAATAAACAAGTTCAGCAAGGTGACAGGATATAATATCATTATACAAAAATCAGTTGTATATGTATACATTAGCAATGAACAGTCCAAAAATAAAACTAAGAAAAGTTTTCAATAGCATAAAAAATAATACAGTACTTAGGAATAAATTTAACAAAAGAAATACAAAACTTACATTCTAAAAACTACAAAACGTTGAAAAAAAAGATCTAAATAAATGGAAAGGCATCCAAGTTCATGGATCAGAAGGCCTAATACTGTCAAGATGGCAGTACTTCCCAAATTGACCTACAGATTCAGTGCAGTCTCTATCAAAGTATCAGCTAGGATTTTACAGATATTGACAAGCTGATCCTAAAATTCATGTGGAAATGCAAGGGACTCAGAATATCCAAAACAAGCTTGAAAAGGAAGAACTAGGTTGGAAGACTCATACTTTCTGATTTCAAAATTTACTACAAAGCTACAGTAATCAAGACAGTGTGGTACTGGCGTAAGAATAGAAATAGTAAATCAATGGAATAGATTTGAGAATCCAGAAATAAACTCATTCATTTTTGAGCAATTGATTTTCGACAAAGGTGCGTAAGTAGTTCAGTGGGGAAAGAATAGTCCTCTCAACAAGTGCTGCGGAGAGAATTAGATATTCACATGCCAAACAATGAGGTTAGACCTCCAGCTCATACCATATACAAACATTAAGTCTAAATAGATCAAAGACCTTAATGTAGGAGCTAAAATTATTAAAACTCTTAGAAAAAAACATAGGGGCAAATCTTCATGACCTTAATTTGGCAGTGGTTTCTTAAATGTGTTCGTTGAATTGTACACTTTAAATGAGTGAATGGGATGGAATGTAAGGGGCATCTCAAAAAGCTGTTACAAAAAAACCAACAACAACCATGACAGTAAAGATTCCAACAAGGCCTACACATTGCTTTGGTTGTTGTGTCTCCTAAATCTCCTTAAATTTTGAACACTTGTTCCTCTTCATCCCCTTCCTACTCTTGTGCTGTTAACTTATTGAAGAGTTTGGGTCAGTTGAATTTCTCACGTTCTGGATTTTTCTGCATGTTTTTTGGTGTTACGTAACTTGTTTTCTGTCAGGAATACTTCATAGGCAATTCTGTGTACTTTTATACTGCATACGTATGTTTGCTCTCACTTGAAAGATTTTCTCTGAAACAACTTTCATTCTTTACTAGTTATTTAATTTTATATTTTAAAATAGGGTTTTTTTTTAAGTGAATATAATGTTACTGGGATTATGACTTTAAAAAGCAGTCGCTACCAAATTCTGAAACCATTCATCCACAAAAGTACAATTGAGACTTAGTTCCTTCTAAGTTGTAATTTTTTTCAATTTTGTTTGAAAGTTCATTGTTTGAATTCTAGAAAATGGTAACTTTTTAAGACTAGTAAGAAGCAAAAAACTTACGTGGAGGATTGAAGGGAAGCAGAGTGGATGCTGGGACAATAATTAGACTCTTAAGTAGTTCAGGTGACATAAGATAGCAATTTGGGTTAGAGTGTGGCAATGGAATTAGAAGTGGAGTATTAAGAAAACATTTAGAAGGTGAAATTGATGGGACTTGGTAATAGATTAGATATAGGAATTGGGGTGTCAGGGATGGCTCCCGGATTTCTGACTTTTGCAGCTGAATGAATGTTGGTACTATTTCCCGGTACCCATTGCCATCAAATTGATTCGACTCATAGTGACCCTATAGGACAGAGTAGAACTGCCCTATAGGGTTTCCAAAGCTGTAATCTTTAAGGAAGCAGACTGCCACAGCCCTTTTTCTCATGGAGCCCCTGATAGGTTCGACCTTTGGGTTAGCAGCTGACTGCTTTATCCACTGCGCCACCAGGGCTCACTTGGCACCATTTACCCAGTAGGAAATATTGGAAGAGGTCTCAATTTGGGGAGGAATCTGATAAGTTTGTTTTGGAGATGTTGAGTTTGACATGCCTTTGAAATATCAAGATGGATGTGCTCAGTAGGCATTGCTATAAGGGACTAGAATTCAGTGGAAAGGTTTGAGTTGAATATGTAAATGTGAGAGTCAATTCATTTTGGTTAATTGAAGCTAAAGGTGTGGATGAGATTGCCTGAGGTGAGACTGCCCCCCCCCCAAAAAAAAAAAACCAGATCAGTTGCCATGGCAATCCCATGTCTGCGCTCTAGGCTTGTTTTCCAAGATACCTCGGGGTGGGTTCGAACTGCCAGCCTTTCAGATAGTAGTCAAGCGCTTAACCACTCACACCACCCAGGGACTCCTAAACAGTAAACAAAGAAGGCCTGATATTTAATAACATTTAATAATCAGGTGAATGGGGATGAATTAGTAAGAGACTGATAGTGATGAGAGAAACAGAAGGAAAACTAGGAGAAATTGGTATCACAGAAGTCAAGGAAGGAGTCTTTCCAAAAGGAGGGAGTGGTCTGCAGTACAAGGTGTTTCTGTGAGAGTTCAAATAAGGTAAGAAATGGTACTGGGTATTGAATTTAATGACATGGAGGTAATTGGTCAATATAGAGTGCATGGTTTCTAATGATGGAGGCAGAAGCCAGATTAAAGTACTTCAAATTATTTTATGTTAACACAGTTAAGACTAAAAATCCCCCTTGTTCATATACTATGTTTACTACCTCTATACAGCTTCCCTCTGATGAGTAAATATAGTGACCTTCAGATTGAAGCAGTCTGATTCATTGAACCATTTAAATTTCAAAGAGTAGCTTTGTCTGTCTAATCTCTAATCTCAGATTAAATTCCAAGATGTGCTATTGCTTAGTTCTAAGAAGTTACAAAGAGAACACACACCTAAAATTTCAAATACTTAATTACCAAATTGTACTGCATATGGTTTTAAAGGGAGGGGTTTCTATTGGAAAACTTCTTTTTTTTTTTTTAAAAAGAGGATTTATGGAAAATTGTGGCCATTGATTTCAATATACTCTACTGTTTCCATCATTTTATCTTTAGCTGTTGCCTGTGATTGCTGAGCAGCTACAGTGGATGCCATTTGTGAATGCCAAACATCACGAGCCTTTTGTCAAGTTTATATATTGGTCACTAAGGCAGCTAGATGCTGGAACACAGGTAATTGGTTAATAGGAATCTATCTTCAAGTAATACTCCATTTAGTATTATTTTTCTTGATCTTGTTCTTTCACAATATATATATTTTTTTAATGTGTTCTCTTTGTATTTCGGAACCTCTGCTTGCCTCCCTTGCTTTGTTCGCTATCTATCTGTCATCTCTTCTCTCCTTTTATATGTTTTATTCCTCAATGCCATAGACTCGACTCTTGATATATAACATGTTTTTTGGGTTTTAGAATTATATAAATGAGTAGTTTTATTACTGTGTTAGGTTATTCTTAATAATGTATATGCCCCCAATTATTTGTTTTTTGATTTTTCATATTCTCCTGAAGGTAATAGAACTTAAGGATTTCTGGTATTTTTTTTTTTTTTAATGTCAGTAAGTACTAGCTAAATAGGACAGTGATGATTAAGATAACCTAGTTAATTAAAAAAGAAAAATTGTTTCTAAATCTTAAAAAATGGATGTCGTATGTTACCTGCTCACACAAATAGATGGCATAGCGGTTAAGAGCTCGGCTGCTAACCAAAAGGTTGGCAGTTTGAAGCCACTAGCCGCTCGTTGAAAACCCTATGGGGCCGTTCTGCTTTGTTCTACAGGGTGATTAAGAGTTGGAATAGACTTGATGGCAATGAGTTTTTTTTTTTTTTTACTCACGTGAGGGTTGTTTAATTAGAATTCATGACATGCACGAATTGTAGTAAAAAACAGTAATCCAGTTGTCGTCGAGTGAATTCTGACCCACGTGTTTCACAGTAGAACTGTGCTCCATAGGGTTTTTAGGACTGTGACCTTTCAGAAGTAGATCACCAGGCCTTTCTTCCAAGATGCCGATAGGTGGGTTTGAACAGCCAGTCATTCTGTTAGTAGGCCAGCGCTTAACTGTTTGCACCACCCAGGGACTCCATGAATTGTAGTAGGTTAGTAAAATTTTATTTCCCCAGTTACGATTGATAAATACTGTTAAACCTTTCATTTGATTTAAAAAATGAGAAAAACGAATTTGTGCTTGGGTACTTAGTCTAGGTCCTGTGGAACATAGGAAGAAAAAACACTTAAACCAAGTCAGTGCAATACTGATGATTAAGTAGTATTAAGTAGTGTAATGATTAAGATGAAGTATAAAAAAAATCTTTCCTGAGGCTGTATCTTTAATATTTTGCCTTCATGGTGATGTGAGATGACATGAGTAAGCACGTGTGCACGTGTGCACACACACGCACAGACACACATACACACCCACCTTTTTCTTTATTGATCTTAATTCTGTGTTTCACCAAACAAATTTATGCCAAGTATAAGATCTGTTAATGTCACTGTCTTCTTTTTCACAATGTGTTTGATTTATATCAAGCTATTTGTGTAATTGTTTCTATTAAAGGTTGGCCAGATCTTACTTGCGGCCATTAAAGGCTAGACTTTAACAAAGTGGAATGAAACTTCATTTTATCTTCCTTTCAACTAACTTTCTCATTTTTCCGTCAGATAATGTATAGTATAATTTTGTTGTCTTCAGATATTTTTTGAGTGCCCTGTTGTATGTACTATTGTAAATAATACTGCTAACTTAACACCTGCTTTTCTGGTGAAAAGTTACATTCTTGCCAGTCTCCCATTCATTTGTACGACATTATTGTTGGACTTCTAATTAATATTTGAGCTTTAACAACTGTCTAGTTGCTTGTACTTTATTTTTTACTTAAGCTTTTTATTTTGAGATGACTGATTTCAAATCGTTGTCAGGTAATTCTAACATCTCTGTCATATAGATATTGGTATTTACTGATTTTCTTTTTAATTCAGTTTAAGATCTTCCTGGTTCTTGGTATAATGGGTGATTTTTTATTGAAATTCAGACATTTTGTGTATTATGTTATGAGACTCTGGATCTTATTTAAATCTTGTTTTTTCTGCTTTTCTTTGACACTGTTCTGTCAGAGGAAAGTGGGGGCTTCGCCTCTTTCCGGGAGGTAGAAGTCTAGTTTTCTCACTAGGCTTCTTTTGGTACCCAAAAGGGGAGCTCCTCATTACTCCTGGTGGAGGTGGAAATTATGGCTCTCCACTAGGTCTACACTGATACCTCCGTGCTGGAAGGGATATGAGTGTCTTGTTACTGCCCCCGCATTATAGCCCGGTGAGGTTGGAAGTCTAGGATCTCCATTGGACTTGGCTGGCATAGGTGGGGGTTGGGCCACAGATTTTTTTTATGGTGTTTGGCTGGAGTAGACCAGTTTTTGTCTAAAAGATTTCTGTCTTGCTAGATTGCCCCTTTCCTAGACCTTTTACTAGAGAGAACAAGTGTGTGTTGGGGCATTTTTTGTTTGCAGCTGTTGGCATTTCTGCATTACTGGCTTTCTCTGCCCCAAGTCTGGGATATATGAGGTGAAAAGAAAACTCAGAAATTTCACTACCATGTCGTTCCTTGGGTATTGAGGTCCCTATCTGTTTGTTGTCTTCTCTCCACCTTTTGGAGTCTTACATTGTTTTTTATATAATGTGCAGGGTTTTTAATTGTACTTAGAACAGGAGGACTAGGGAAAAGTACGTCTGCTTCATCTTTCCAGAAGCGAAAAGTGTTTTATTTTTTAAAACTTCCTAGATTTTGGGGTTAAAGTTATTTTAACATTTTTTGCTTACTGTTAGAGAAGGTGTAACCTATCCTACAAAATATGGCTTAGCGCCAATGTAGAGGTAGAATCCTGGTAAAGATGATCAACCCAATTAGAAAACTCACGTATCCTACAATGAATGGATAGATGAAAGAGTCAGCACCAGGCTGGTTTTAGCAAAGATTTCACAGCTCTTAGCTGAAGCTTTAGTAACAATCAGAAATGCTTTTTTTGGTGAGTCTTTCACTTCTCCTCCAATTAAATGGCAAAAGTATCAGCATAAGTCTTAAAAAATAAAATACAGATTTTTTCCATTATAAAAGGAGTATAAAGCATTACAACTTATAAAAAAACAGAAAAAGTAAAGAAAATTGCTGTAATCTGACTATTCTAATACAATTACTGCAGTAGTATTTTGAAATCTTTCCTTCTATTTTTTTACACAAAGGTTTTATTTATTTTAATTTTTTTATTGTTGAGAATATACACAGCAAAATACACACCAGTTCAACAGTTTCTACATGTACAATTCAGTGATATTGAATTGTACACGTAGAAACAATTCTCTAAATTGTGCAACCATTCCAACCTTCCTTTTCCGAGTTGTTCCTCCCCCATTAATGCAAGCTCACTGCCCCCTAAAGTTGCTATCTAATCTTTCAAGTTGATACACAAATGGTTTAAGACACATGCGTATTATTTTTTCCTAGCCCTGGTGGCACTGTAGTTAAGAGCTCAGCTGCTAACCAAAAGGTTGGCAGTTCGAATCCACCAGGTGCTCCTTGGAAACCCTGTGGGGCAGTTCTGCTCTGTCCTGTAGAGTCGCTATGAGTTGGAATCCACTCAACCACACTTTTTCTTTTTTTTTTTTTTTAGTAATATTAAAAGCTTAGTGACAATATATTTAGATTGCTCACTTTGTGCCATTGGTCACAAATCCCCATGAAAATGAGGGAAACTGTTACAAAACTCAGTGTCATGGGGTTGGAGAATTGGGTCATAATAAAGGAAAATGTAAGTTATTTCTGATTAGTCTTAAGCACTCTCATGTGTAACAGTTCAATATAGTCCCCCCTTTTAAATTTATTTTATTTTTTGTGGTTGTTGTTGAGAATATACACAGCAGAACATACACCAGTTCAACAATTTCTACATGTACAATTCAATGACATTGATTACATTCTTCAAATTGTGCAACCGTTCTCACCCCCCTTTTCCAGATTATTCCTTCCCCATTTAACATAAACTCAACTGCCCCATAAGTTTCCTATCTAACCTTTTGAGTTACTGTTGTCAGTTTGATCCCATGTAGATAGTCCTTCAAAGAGCACAATTCTCAAGTCAGATATTCTTTACTAATTAAGGGAAACATTGTTTGGTTTAAAGAAGACTTAAGAGGATATATTTGGTTTAAGGTTTAAAGATTATCTCAGGGCAGTACTTTCAAGGATTCATCCAGCCTTCATTGCTCCAGAAGGTTTGGATTCCATGACAATTTGGAATTCTGTTTCACGTTTTTCTGTCTTTTGATCAGGATTCTTTAGAATATTTGATCAAAACTTTCAGTAAAGTTTTCCGGGCGTCATCCAGTTCTTTGGTCTCATGGTAAAGGAGGCTGTTGGTTGTTCATGGAGGCAATTAGCCATACATTCCATATCTTCCTCCTATTCCTGACTCTCCTTCTTCCTCTGTTGCTCCTGGCAAATAGAAACCAATTACTGTACTTTGGATGGCTGCTTGCGAGCTTTTAAGACCCCAGGCACTGCACAACAAATTATGAGGTAGAACACAAGCACTAAACACATTATTCCTATTGTTGGTTTTTAATGAATATGTGAAATACCATTAGAACCTATGATATTTGTCATGGTTTGAGTTATGTCCCCCAGAAATGTGTGTATTAATTTGGCTGGGCCATGATTCCCAGAATTGTGTGGTTGGCCTCCATCTTGTGATTGTAATTTTATGTTAAAGAGGATTAGGGTGGGATTGTAACACCACCCTTACCCAGGTCATATCCCTGATCCAAAGTAAAGGGAGTTTCCCTAGGGTGTGGCCTGCACCACCTTTTACCTTACAAGAGATAAAAGGAAAGGGAAGCAAGCAGAGAGTTGGGGACCTCACACCATCAAGAAAGCAGTGCCAGGAGCAGAGCGCATCCTTTGGACAGGGATCCCTGCGCCGAGAAACTCCTAGTCCAGGGGAACACAGATGAGAAAGCCAACAGAGAGAGAAAGACTTCCCCTGGAGCTGACACCCTCAATTTGGACTTTTAGCCTACTTTGACTGTGAGGAAATAAACTTCTCTTCGTTAAAACCATCCACTTGTGGTATTTCTGTTATAGCAGCACTAGATGACTAAGACAATGTTTTAGAGGTATTTTTATGCCATTATTTTTTTTCCCTTTTTTTTGTTTTAATTTATTCACAGTGAGAATTAACTATGGTTGTAACCAAGTATTTTATTCTTTTGAAATTGTTAAATGTTCTCAAAATCACTATGATAGTTACAGTCATCCTGAGCTATAAGGCAGTGAGGCTGCAGATGATCGTTTCCTAAGCTAACATAGTAAGGTGTACCTGATACACCAGTGATCGATCATGGCGAGGAATAAAGAACCTAAAGAGCAGGATGTCTGCCTCTGTTCCATGCATATTTCTCTGTGCTAGAAGTATGTCATAATCCTAACTGTTCTTAAATGTTTTGAAATTGAATCCTGTTTCAATTCTTCTAGTGTTATTCTTAGAAGATTCCTGTTTTCAATTTGATTTAGTAGTCTGTCCGTTTCTTTTTAGAAAACATGTAGTTATTCTTAATTTTAAGGAGCCCTGGTGGCGCATTGGTTGAGTGCTCAGCTGCTAACCGAAATGTTGTCAATTCAAACCCACTCAGTTGCTGTCTGGGAGAAGGACCTGACTGTCTGCTTCTATAAAGATTACCAAACCAAACCCATTGCCGTTGAGTCAATTCCGACTCATAGCAATCCTACAGGACAGAGTAGAACTGCCCCACAGGGTTTTCAAGGCTGTAAATCTTTCTCCCACAGAACGGCTTGTGGGTCTGAATCGCCTACCTTTTGGTCAGTAGCTGAGCAGTTTAATCACTGTACTTACCAGGGCACTGTAAAGTTTATAGCCTAGGAAATCCTATGGGGCAGTTCTACTCTGTCACCTGGGATCGCTGTGAGTTGAAAATTGACTCAATGGCACCTAACAACAATAACAACATAATACTTAATTTAAAAAAATTGATGGTAAAATTGTTACTTTCTAATCTTGCCTATTTTTAACTCTATATTTTAATTAGTAAAAAATTGACTTACTTTTAGTGCATATATTTGATTGTAGCATTCAAAATACACTTAAGTTAGAGTGAGTGGGTTTTTCCTTTTCATTTTCTGAACATGAATAAGTATACTAAGACATTTTAATATTTTTACCAGCATTCAACTCTGACATCGACATTGAGAAGATTGGGTGAAGACATATTCAAAGGAATAGTAACTAAAGGAATTCAGGATAATTCTTTAGAGCATTCTGGGGAGAATAAACCAAAGACAGCTGCTTTTTTTAAGAGCCCCAATTTACCACTGAGATTTTTATCAACCTTAATTGTTCTTAAAACAGTAACTCAAGGTAAGCTTTCAAATATGTTTATTGTATAATTTTGATACACAATCAGGAGAAAATACAATATAATAAAGCAATTCTTATGTAAACAATACAGGTTTTACCTTTTCAGAATCAGATTTTAAATTGTTTTACAATGGTGACACATTATAAAAAACTTTTATTTGTAGAAATTTAAAAAGTGGAATATTCAGGTGGATTGTCACCACTCCCTGGAAGCCTTTGTTGATTGCCTTAGACCGTGTTCCTCTAGCATCCTTTGCTTACCCCTGTGATTGTGTTTGCCATGTAGTATTGAAAATGCTTTGTGTATTCTTTTTCACTAGATGAGAGCTTGGTAAACTGTAGCCCTGGGCTAAATCCGGCCCACCACTGTTTTATTTTTTTATTATTGTGATAAATATATAGGTAACAAAACACCACTACTGTTTTGTAGATAAAATTGTGTTGCAGCACAGCCATGCTCATTTTTTTACGTATTTTCTGTGGCTGCATTTGTGCTACAACAGCAAAGTTGAGTAGTTGTAGCAGAGACTGTGTGTCTTAGTTATCTAGTGCTGCTATAACAGAAATACTACAAGTGGATGGCTTTAACAAACAGAAATTTATTCTCTCACAGTTCAGGAGGCTAGAAGTCCGAATTCAGGGTGCTGGCTCTAGGAGAAGGCTTTCTGTCTCTGTCGGTTCTAGAGGAAGGTTCTTGTCTCTGCTGAGCTTCTGCTCCTGGGCGATCTTCATGTGGCTTGGCATCTCTCTTCCCCCATCTCTGCTTTCTTGCTTGCCCTAATCTGCTCTTTTTATATCTTGTAAGAGATTGACTCAAAACACACCCTACACTAATCCTGCCTCATTAACATAACAAAGACAACATTTCCAAATGAGATTATCACCACAGGCATAGAGGTTAGGATTTATAACACATATTGTGGGGGGACACAGTTCAATCCATAACACTGTATGACCCCCAAAGTTTATAATCTTTATTATCTAGCTCTTGACAGAAAAAGTTTGTCAACCCCTGTACTAGTTTGTAAGCTTAATGAGGAAAGTAACAGTGTCTTTATTTACCATTGTATCTCCCTGCCTAGCATAGTGTTTGTTGTATAACAGTGAATAAGGAAATGAAAGAATTTAAAATAATGTTTCAATCGAAGTTGGTCATGATTAACACAGTTTGAATATGTAGCTATAACTAGTTATCTTTTTAGCTTATAAATATAAGAATATTTGTTAAAGTACGTCATTCCATTGTAGTCAAACAATAAATGTACCATCTCTCTGTCTTCTCTAGTTGTTAAATTATGTGACTTAGACTGATTTTTTTTTTTTTAAATGGTCAGTGACAGTCATTTAACATGGCTACTTTCTCTGAAGTATGTTCCATTTAGTCACTCCTGGTGGTATGGAATTGAGGAAATAGCAAAACTGTAACTCAGCCTTCTTAGTTATTTTGCGTCTTTATAGTTGTGGCTCTCACAGTTTTAGCAGACTAGGTGATAGCTTTTTAAACAGAGGTCAGCTTATGAGAAAGGGATATTAGCCAAAAATAAAGTTCACCACAGGCCTGTCTCAGAAACTTAAAAATCTATATATACTAAATAAAATTTTAGCAAACAAACTGTAGCCATACATTAAAAAAAAAAAAAAAAATATATATATGTATTTACCAGAGATCAAATAAGGCTTGTGTCAGAGATTCAAGGCCACTTGTATATAAGTTTTTAACCATGAATCATTTAATTAAGAAAAATATTTAAAATCATATCTCAACATATACTGTGACATCATTTGATAATATATAATGTTCATTCCTGATAAAACCCTAAAAAAGGCAAAAACACAGTAAGGAATATTTATTTGAAATGGAGAAATAAAACAGAAATTCTGTGCACCTGTAACTACTTCTGTGCAGCACAGTATTGAATATGCTGACTAACTGTAATGAGGCGTGAACAAAAGAAGGATAAATATTGGAAAGGAATAGAGAAAACTACCAGTGGATATTCTAACTGTATAAGTCTAGGACATTCAAAGAAATTGGCTAAAAATTTTCTAGAAAGAATTTATGTTTCAGAAAATGAACTCCAGAAGAAATTTACAAAGAAATCTGTCGGCTTTCTAGATGTTAGTAATAGGCAGCCATAATATACATGCAAAAAGAAATATTGCCCATTGAAACAAAATAAAAAAATGTAAAATCTAGATAGTAACCTAATATGGTGTTTATAAAGCCTCATCCTTTTTGAAATGTAACAATATAAAAAGAGATATACATGAATGAGTAGGTTAATAAAAATTATTGCTACAGTTAAATGGCAGAAATAAAGGATTTTTATTCTTCTTACCTTTGAAGATCAAGTGTAATAAAAAATCTAAGATGCCCAAAGTGGCTTAATGTAATACTAATTAAAATTCCAGTAGGTTTGTGTAACTTGAGAAAGCGGTAAAGAAGTTTATGTGAAAAAAATTACCAAAGGATATGATGATTTAGAACAAGTAAAACCCTAACACTGGAGCAGAGGCTTGCCTTAGCAGATTTTAAAACGATTGTGATATATAATAATAATAACTTAGAGATTTAAAACATCAAAATAGAACAGTGGGAATAAGAAGTCCAGAGATGACACAAAATTGGCCCTTCATAAATATTTATTGAATGAATGCATTTGGATGCTTTCTTGTGTGAATCATTTTTTTAAGAACATAAAAAGAATCATGATATAGTTCCTGCTCCCAAAGACATGAGAATCTAGTGGTTAAGTAGATTGTAAATATTTCATTTTGGTTCAACTTATAATTAACATTGTGCTGGAAATTTGAGCAGTGTGCTACTGGGGTAAAGAAAAATGATAAGTTACTTCTGGTGATATGAAAGAGGGAATAAAGAGAGATTTGATATGAGTTAGCATTTGAGCTGGACTGTTAAGGATGTATAGAATTTCATAGGCAGAGAATAAAGAGAGGCCATTCCTGAGGGAACAATATAAGCAAAAGCTTGGAGTTAGGAAAGAGCTTGGCATGTAAGAAGACCAATGAGTTGTCAAATATTAAAGGATGTTGTGGGATCACAGATGCTCCTTGAATGCCATATTAAGGAGTTTAGTATATATTTTGATTTCAGATGATCTTTGGCCAAGTATGCTGGCTCTGCTTATTTAGCAGTGTTTTCATGAACTTTATTTTGCTTTATTAAATATTAGATTTCTTTAAAAATGGCTTCCAGCTCTGATGGAATAACAGGGACCAGATTTACCTGCCTGCCTTAAGCAATTTAAAAAAACTTGAAAAAAAATATATGAAACAAAGGTTTTCAGAAGATTCACACCACAGGACAGTGATCACTGAGAGAAGGGAAACGAACAAGGTGAACCCTACAGTTACTGGAGCTTACTATCTAGAGAGAATTTCCAGGCCACAGTACAGGGAAGGGTAGTGAAAACGGAACGGGGCAGTCTCCGTGAGAATTTGGGGAAGCCAAATAGGCTGGTATTCGCAGAACAGAATCTTGAAGAGGTGAGAGCTTCCTGAAGAGGAAAGAGCTGCGCAGTGAGAGAGCACCAGAAATCTCACGAGTGTTTCTGTCAGATAATCAGCTGAGTACTGATCAGCGCATGTGTGTGAGGAAACTACCAGAAAGGAGCAAGTGGCACAATCCTGGAAGCTCACCAGGCAGGGAATAGTTGTCTTCCCACCAGCCTATGTGAGAAAACCTTGTAATTAACATGACAGTGGGTAGAGTACCCAAGAAGGTATATTACCTTAATAGTGGGGCAAACTCAGCCCTAGAGTAAAGGCTATTCTGATCCCACCTTACAAACTCTAAGAGCAAAGAAATCAATCTAAAAGCAGAGAAATCAAGAAAGGATCAAACTGTTTCCCAGTAACTACATCACAGGACAATAATGAAGAATATTTATAGTAAAATAAAAATAACCAGTACTCAAGAAGGTAAAATTCACAATGTCTAGCATCCAATTAAAAAAAAAAAAAGATAATATGACCCATAATGAGGAGAAAAAATAATCAATGTAAACTGACCCAGAAATCCAGAAATGACACTGATGATAGACTTAGTAGACAAGGACACTGAAACAGCTATAACTAGAGTCCATATGTTCAAGAAGGTAGAAAAAAGCATGAACCTGATAAAGGAGATACATGGAAAACATAAAAATACCTGTCTTGGTCATCTAGTGCTGCTATAACAGAAACACCACAAGTGGGTGGCTTTAACAGACAAGTTTATTCTCTCACAGTCTAGTAGGCTAGAAGTCCAAATTCAGGGTATCAGCTCCAGGGGCAGGCTTTTGCTCTCTGTCGACTCTGGAGGAAGGTCCTTGTCATCAGTCTTCTCCTGGACTAGGATCTTCCCAGCGCAGGGACCCCAGGTCCAAAGGATACGCATTTCTCCTGGCACTGCTTTCTTGGTGGTATGAGGTCCCCCATCTCTCTGCTCACTTCTCTTTTTTGTATCTCAAAACAAATTGACTTAAAACACCACCTAATCTTGTAGATTGTGTCCTGCCTCATTAACTTAACTGCTGCTAATCCTACCTCATTAACATCATAGAAATAGGATTTACAACACATAGGAAAATCACATCAGATGACAAAATGGTGGACAATCACAGAATACTGGGAATCATGGCCTAGCCAAGTTGACACACACATTTTTGGGGGACATAATCCATAACATTCCATTCTTTGGCCCCCCAAAATTCACGTCCTTGCCACATGTAAAACACATTCACCCTGTCATATCATAGCAAAAGTCTTAAATCAACTCCAAGTCCAAAATCTGAAAATTCCTCTTCATCTGTGAAATCTAGAATACAAGTTATCTGCTTCCAAAGTACAATGGTGGAACAGGCACAAGATAGACATTTCCATTACAAATGGGAGAAATTGGAGGGAAAGAAGGGATAACAGGCACCAAGCAAGTCAGCAGAACACATTGCATTAGTTTTCAGGGCTTAAAAATAATCCTCTGTTTTCTGAGACCATTT